GCAGCTTCAGTACCAGGCCAGCATAGATGAGCAGAGCCGGCTGCTCGCTGTGCAGGAACAGCTGGAGTGTCAGCTCCAGTACTGCCAGGAGGAGCTTTGGCAGCTCAAGGCTCAGAAGGCCCCTGTGCCAAAGGACAACGTGGACTGGTGCGAGAGCAGCGCCAAGAATGTCACCAAAGTGATGGGTAAGACAGGCTTCAAAACCGGCACGGCCATCTGCAAGAACAGCAGTCAGGTGAGCACCGAGGGCATGGAGCAGGCTTGGGGGACCAAGAGGAGGGCCCTGAAGCAGCGCCCCGGGGTCAGGCGTCTGCCCCTCTGGGGAGCCACAGACCCCTTCTCGGAACATCAGTGCTCTTAAAAGCACAAAATCAAATGCATAGAATTATAAGTTTAACCAAATAGAGTAAAATCTAGTTATCAAAATAGCATTTTTAAAAACAAGTTCACAGACCTCTGGTAAAGAGGTAAAGAATTCCTGCTTGCTGGGCCAGCCATGGAAAGATTGGCAGGAGATGGCTATATCAAAGTCCCATCAGATTCTGTCTGGACGGGCTACGGTTGCTACACTACATGGTTTGGTCTCAAAGGGTCCAGTCACATATTCTGGAACCTGAGGTCTCTACTCGGGAGGGAATAAATCTAGAGATATGAAGAGGTAGGGCAGTAGATGGGGGTCATTTCTTTCAAATAATTGAACCAGCTGATGAGAGAGGGTTGGCTAAAACTGGAGTTCCACTGGGAGAAACGGGGTTTGGGAAAGGAAGCATTAAAGAGGAGACTAGGATGCCTCATGTCTGGTAGCTGCCAGGGAAGGAGAAGGGTGGTCAGACAATGGCAATCCAAGTTAGCTGTGTTTAGAAGCTTTGGCTTTTTCTTTGGGTATAACCCAAGAAGGCTGGCTGTGAATGCTGTCAGGGTCCCTTTGGGCCAACACGCTTAAAAAGCGTGGTTTTCTTGGGAGGGTCCAGAGAATATGTGTGGGAAGCTCCCTGGTAACATTGGGGTCACCTCCTTTCCCTCCCTCCCTCCCCACAGAGTCAAGAGCTGGAGGTGGTTCTGTACTATAAGGCCAGCACGAGTGAACTGGAAAGAGAGCTGGAAAGAGAGCCGGAAAGAGAGCCAGAGGAGCTGTGCGAGGCTCTCGAGGAGGAAGAGTTGCTGCTCCAGGAGACGCTGGAGGAGGAGGACCCCGAGTCAGAGGAGGAAGGGTCTGAGCCAGAGCCTGAGCCAGAGCCCGAGCCCGAGCCTGAACCCGACCCCGAGCCCGAACCCGAACCGGAGCCCGAGCCTGAGCCGGAGCCCGAGGCTGAGCCCGAACCCGAGCCTGAGCCGGAGCCAGAACCAGAGCCAGAGCCAGAGCCAGAGGAGCCAGAACCAGAGCCAGAACCGGAGCCAGAACCAGAGCCAGAACCGGAGACAGAACCAGAGCCAGAAAGTGTGCCCATACCTATGGTAAAGCAGGTAGAATTCCCAGTCATCTGAAAGAGGGGTCAGACGACCTGTGGGACCAGCTAGGCTGCTTTGAGGATGAATCAATGGAGCATGTTAATTTTCAGGACATCGGGCAGGACGACGAACTCATCAAGCCAGAACCCAAGGAGGGCACCCCCATCAAGATCTCTGAGAGCAAAAAGGTAACTGCAGGCTGGACTGGGGGACAGAAGGAGATAGGCTGTCCTCTCCAGGGCAGGGCACCTCAACACGCCGTGGGGAACCTGACAAAGAGAATGTGGGCAAGAAGAAATAGCACAAGGAACAGTCTGTAAACCTGAGACGAGGGTGGGCAGGCGCATGGGAGAAAAGCAGGCTTGCCCTAGAACAGGGCAGCAATCCCCCAACCACCAGTGACCCTGAGACACCAAAGCCTGCTGGGTTTGAAAGATCTTCTGGGATGTGCGCTGCAAGCATTGCCCTACCAGCCTGGGCAGGATGCTGCCTTCCCTGCGGCCGGTTCGTTCACTGGGATTACAGGTTGGAGGTCCCACAGTCTGCTCTTAAGCAGCAGGGGGCTATGCTAGATTACTGGTCCCTAGGAGATGCTGTATTCTGATGCCACCCAATAAGTAGACATATAAGCTGCAGAGCTTCCTAGCTTCTCTCCCCAGAGAACAGTCATCCCCAGTGTTTCATATTGGACTAAACCAGACCTCACCCAGCCTCTAAAGAGGATCCAGAACCGCCCCACCTTGTGGCCCCTCTAGGGTGACTGCAGGCCTTCTAGACTGGAATTATTTTTGATCCAATTCAAGGAATCTTGGTTTTTCCCTTTCGGTGTCTTTCTCCCCCTCCCTCTCTGTTTCCTTTCTCCTCTAGCGATATCAGTTTTTAAAATGGGGTTGGGGGAGGGGAGGATTGATGAAAGAGAAAACTCTTCTTCAGGAAATTCTTCTGAAAAAATGCTGGTATCCCTTAGAGGAATGAGCCATTGTCCTTCTCCTGTGACAGAGACTGAGCTTCATCTGGGAGTTTGAGTGATTCAGGCAGGTGGCCCCAGGTTTCTCATGATGAGAGAAGTCTAAAGTTCTACCTGAGCTGAAACACTGCAGCCATAGGGAAGGGAAGACTGGGAGCCTGTGAAGGCAGGGCAGAGGGTGGTGGGCAGGGTAGAGGGGGAGCCCATCCAGGGGGTGCTGAGAGCTCGAGGAACGCAGGAGGGACATGGGCTTGGCCAGGACAATGCCTCCTCTCCTGGCTGGGGGCTGAGGCTGCGGCTCAGCCCCCGTAGCTTTGCACCCGCTTCCAGCCGCAGGTGGGGAGAGCCAAGGCCCCCCACAGCAGAGGGGCTGCTCACTTGCTCTTTAACCTCGTGATTTCTTTCCTTCCTCTCTTCCCTCTGTTCTGCCATCTTCACTACCTGTTGGCTTCATTTGTTTGCGTGTCTTTTGCCTTCCTCTCATCCCCTTCATATGTCCCCGTGCTTCTGTTCTCACCCGACGTGTTGCAGCCACCCCCTGACCCTGACCCGCCCCTCATCTCCCTGCCTCGCGTAGGCCTGGTGGTCATATCGGCTCTACTCTGGTGCTGGTGGGCTGAGACCTCATCCTAACACAGGTACTCGTATTGCTTCCTCAGCATCTGGGTGCCACAGGGGAGGTGCAGACGGTCCTGATGACTCCCTCTTCCTTCCTCCCTCCCTCTCAGCTTCTGCTGGCTGCTCTGCTCTTACCCCTTCCTTCTGCATGATGCCTAGGATTGAGCATTAACACCCGGGCCCTAGTCCTGGCTACTCCTTAAACTGCCAGCAAAGATGCTGTCCATCTTTGAACCTCCTCTAAACCCCAAGAGGAATGGATGTGTACCTCTCAAAAAAGAGCTCATGGTCCTCCAATGGAAAAGCTTTTCTTAAGCCCAATACAGTTGCCAATTTTGTTTAACCATCTTTTCCTACTACTGTTGAACCCAGAGCTGCCCGTTGAGTTCTCTGAAGCTCCTGCCTGGGTCTCCAAGTGTGGCCTGGACTCTGGCTGTGGTTAGCCCTGTAGCAGATCTCCCCACCACAGCCACTGCCACCACAGAGACACCGTTTGCATAGGCCTCTTAGCTCCCTGACAGGGCATTCTGGGTCGGAGGCCCGAAAAGCTGGTACCCGTCTTGGTACTCGTAGTTGGGCGGTTTTCACAGCTCCTTCAAGGGAGTGGAGGCATCACAGCTTCATCTTTCATTTTCTCCTAAAAATATTTCAGTTAGAGACACTTCACACACACACACACACACACACACACACACACACATACACGCACATGCACGCACACGCGTGCATACACACACACAGAGCTATGCTAGACGGGGACATATAAGTTTCTCCTTCACCTCCTCTCCATGGAAGGCTTCTTGTAAATGGTTTCAAAAACAAGATTTGCTGGAGTGGAGATTATTTGGTGAAAGACTTCCACCAGCCAGAGCTATCCATTGCCCCAGGGATCCAGGCTAGAGAGAAGAACCCTGGGCATGTACTTCAACTGGACATGGCTCATGTAACCGGGACTCAAGACGCACACTGTATGGGGATGAGCTACGGGCAGGAGAGGTGAGCGTCTTCCTAGACACTCACTTCTCATCGGCCTCACTGAGCACCTTAAGCCTATCTTTCTCCTGGCCTATTTTCACCCCATCAAATAGTGAAGAAAGCCTCTCTCATTCTGTTTATTTTTACATCTCACTAAATCAGGTGAGGCAAGGAACCAAGCAGAACTTACAGCAACCAGCCACATTCTTCACTGAATGTGAACGTTTTCTTTTCCATCCTTCTCCTGACTCTTCCTTTCCTCCTTTTGCCTTCCTCCCAGTCTTTGCTTTAGGTCTGCCAGTGACAGCTAAAGGCATTGCTTACCTCCATTAGTGACATTCAGAACTCAAGGGCTTGCTGACCCTGCCCTAAAGCTTCTCTTTTTCCTGGGTCTTCTCCTGGATCCTAGATAGGAGGATACCTAAGGTTTTCAGCCTCCATCCACTTGCACTAACTATTTAGCAGCCTCTCAGACTCACCAGTTTAGAATTTGAGAAGGAATTTGTGGCTGATGGGCTGGCTGAGGCTGGATGGAAGCACCCTGGGGTGGGGTGGGGGGGCAGAGACGGGGAGAAGAGGTAGTGTTAGGACAAGTGAACAGAAAATCTGCACTCTAATCCTGCTTAGGCCATTTATTAGTGTGCCCTTGGGCAAATCAATTAACCACTCAGTTTCATCATCTATAAGGGAGGGATAACAATATCTGTCTTATCTACTTCAGAGTTGTGATAAGGATTAAATAAGGTAATGTATGTGAGTGCTTTGTCAACTGTAAAGCATGATATAATGTAGGCTCGTATTAGGAAAGGATGCAATCAAGGTCCTGTCTCCCATGGCCACCTTCTGTCACCTTTGGAGAGCAGCTCTTTGGCTGGTCCTTGAATAGTCAAGAGATTGCTACGGTCATAATAATATAAATGGCTTTGATGGGTGTAGGATCTCATTATTTGGGGACTTCAACAATTCGGATGGCAGCTCATCCATCCCTTCTTACCTTTGTGCCCCTTATCCCCATTTTGCTGTCAGTCCTGCACTTGCTGGGGGCCCTCCAGCAGCTCACTGGTTCTATTGGGGCAGGTGGGCTGTCCAGGTATCCCTTGGCCTGGCTCTGTGAGGAGCATACCTGCCTTCTCAATCGGATGCCTCTGATGGTATTTCTGCAGAAGCGATCCATGGTTTTAATTCTTAAGAGACTGTGGTATTCCATGACTCCAAGCCACATGCGATCCCTAAAGAATGTCGATATTAATAACGATCAGAATGACATAATGGTGAGGTGGCTTCAGAGTCAGGAAGATCTGGGTTCAGGTGTTGCCTGCCTCTTCTTCATTTGGTCTGTGTGATCCCGGACATTGACTTAACTCCTCAGTATCTCATGCAGTTCTTGGGTCAGAAGCAGCACAGCCAATGCCACAACGCTATGTGGGGAGAGGAAGTTTCTCCCCAGGAGCATTCTATCTTGGGGAAATCACAGATCCGGTTTTAAAAAAAAAGTTGACATTTAAATTGCTTTCTAAGGTTTGTAAAATGATTTACACACATTATCTCATTTGATTCTCACAAAAAGCCAATGAAGTAGATACCCTAGGGTGTTATTATTCCAATTTTATAGATGAGGCAACCAAGGCTTAGAAATGTCATGACATGCCTATGGTTATACAGCTAGCAAATACGTGGAATTCAGAAGCCAAGCACTCCTCCCATCACACCAAGCTATTTCTTTGGGTTTTCTTGTGCCCAGGGGCACAAGTGAAAGATGTAACTTCTTAAAATATCTGTCTCTTTTGCCCTCCTCTCCCCATACCCACCACCATGACAACTGGGAGAATCTGTCACATCTAGACTTCTTTGTCCAAACCTTCATGGTCACTTTACATTATCTTCCCCATTCGACAGAGGGAAAAATTGAAGAAGGGGTTGTGACCTAAGGGAGTGATTGAAGGGAGATATGTCAGAGCAGATCTGGACATGGAATCTATTGGTGTCCGGGCTAGGTGACCCCACTTGTTCATTGAAGAGTGAGAAGGTAGGAGTCACTGATCCACAGTTACCTCAAGGTCTCTCTCTGGCTCTAACAGAGGCTAGAAGAATAGGGATCTGTCTGTAGCAAGGGTGGCCATCTATTGTGAAGAAGGGATTTGTCTGGCCTGACAAGGAAAGGGTCCTGGAGACTGGTAACTCATTATTGTTTTTGGTCCCTACAGAACTTGTTTGGAATGTGGAAGCCCTTAATGTTCCTGGCCATCGCGGCGGTGGCTCTCTACGTGTTACCCAACGTGAAGCAGCCAGAGACAGAATTCTGCTTCACGGAGTGAAAGAGGTCTAAGCCATCTGGTATGGTGGACCTATAGTTTCCATCACCCCCACCCCAGCAGGACAGACTGGGCCAGAACTACATTCCCACCCATCAATCCTGTCTCCTGGTTGTCCCATCTTTGCAAGCTTAGTCTACCCAGCTCAGAAAGGCCCATAGGGAGTTCCTGTCACCCTTTTTCTGCCTCCCACAAGAACCCGGGCTCCTTGTAACTAAATATCAGCTCAATTATATGAGAGTTTGTGATTCCTTATTTGCTCACCCCACCTCACATGACAGCCGGACCAGTCGACCTTTGGTCTTCTACCTCACAGAAGTCCAGGACCCCAAGATGCATTGTTTCCTCAGCCCCCTGTCTTGACTCCATTTCTCCTCGAACCACTTCATTTTTTCTAGTTGTTTGGGAACAAATACACCAGAACATCAGTTCTGCTCAGTCAGCAGATATTTGTTGATCAGTCATCTTGCCATGTGCAAGATACAGCCTGGAGTATCAATTTTGTCTATTTTGTTTTTCCCTGTGGAAGGAGAGAAAATAAAGGGAATTAGTAAGAACATTTGGAGATAGGAGGTTTTTCTAGAGTGTTATGCAGCATAGAATAAGTACCAAGACTAGATGAGGGCCATATCACGACAATCCTGAGGGCAGTGCTGAGATCATTACCAATTTGGAAGCTTCCACCCTCTCCATTGTTACAGCTGCACAAATTGGGGCAGGTGCTCCTCCATCTCCTGATCTGCCTGCTCCTTGAGACAGAGCTGTACTGGGGGTAACACAGTCAGCTGCATTCTACTTGCTCTAAAATTGCCCACTACCCACCTGATGCCATCCACTTCTCTTCCATTCCAGGGCAGAGGGGCACTTCCCTATTAACCTACCTAACTCTAGCCACTAGTTGGCTAGAGAACATTATACATCATAAAAATCCCAGGAAGACACGTGTAGCCTGGGTAATACTTGAACCTGTAGCAAAGTTGATCTAAATGCTGAGCTGGAACCCAAGGTTAAGGCTGGCCACAAGGTGAAGGGTCTGACTAGTGATCACACAGTTTGGGCACCAACAGGCTTTCATCTCACCCTTCAATGGACCACCCGTTTCTTGAACTAGAAGGCAGATAGATAGCTCTTCATTTCATGATTCCTCCGATGATACTTTTCTTTGGAATCCAGGGTTCTTTGGGAGCATCTTCCCTAGACAATGTAAAATCCTCTGCCATATCTTAGAATCCTATCTCCTCACTTGGGGATTGGATAGCTATCTGAATCCTTAGTTTGGCTAACCCAGCGTTCCTGAGCCTTTTTTTTATTCTTTGTAATTGGCATGCTTATAAATTACTCAGTTTGCTATGGCACACCTCTAGGGAAAGGGCATCCTGCAATGCTGGTGGTTTAGCTGCCATGGAGGGGGTGAGGAGCACAGTGAGGGTAGAATTGAGGGAAATCACAAATTATTCACGTCTAAGAAAAAGCCCTTGAGTTCTGATTTAGGTAAGTGGAGGCTGGACCACATATTGACAGGGGGGAGCAGAAAAGCAAGGAGGCAGATGGCAGGCAGATGAGTTATATCAGCCTCTTAAGGGAAGAACTGGAGCTGGAGCCTAGGTATGAGCAAAGCACAGCTTGCCACAATACACCTGATTGGAGCTCTAAGACGTCTGAGTTAAGAGGAATAGGGCCAGAGCCCCAACCTGCCCTAAGAACCATCTCTGGTGCCAGTCATATGCCCAATTTACCTGAAATTATTCTAGGGGATAGGGGGATGTATCCCTCAGTTCTTAGAAAATAGGGTCCTTGGTACATGGGACCCCAATTCAGCTCAAATGGAAAAGAAGTATGATTGATGTAGGTGACTGGCACACCACCCTGTAGGAGAAGTGGGGTCAGGAGCTAGATTAGGCAGCTTGGGTCTATAGGGACAGGTCAGCAGGTGGTGAGTCAGGGGGTTATAAGCAGCTTGTAGCCCCAAATACTCGGCTGATGAAACCCCCCTGCAAACCTCCTGGGGGGCACCACATGGCCCAGGGGAAGAGGAGAAACTAACTCCTTTGCCAGGAGGCGGGGGAGGGGATGGAAGGGGTGAAGGAATGGGGGGGGGCCCAATTTGGCAAGACAAAGATGAGCATTGTGCACGGTCTGTTCCAGCCCCGTGTTGCTGCCTGTCCCAGGGCCACAGCTCATGGACTATATTGAGGGCTGAGTCACCGTCCCTGCTGGGTCAAGCTGACTAGTGGGGCCCTGAGTCAGGACCCAATTTATCCTGGAGAGCAGCAGGCTCAGATTGCACTGGGGGAGGGGGAGGGCAATGGAGGGGTGACGGGAAACATCTCCTGGCACTGTTCCCTCCTCTGCCCCATTCACTCCCATGTACACTAAGCATTTTGGGGCTGAAGTAGGAAAGGGAAGGCCATCTCTTTGTGGGCCCTATTCCCTTCCCTGGGCACTGTTCTCTGATTCAAAGGATATCCCCCTTAGTTACCTGTGATTGATTGGTATTTTCCCCAAGGGGAGCCAGGAGCCACCACTACTGGCTCACTAGTGCTAGTGGGTCAACATAGGGATGGTTAAATATCTTGAATCTTAATGGTATGAAATCCCTCAATATAAGCTTCAGACAACTCCACCTCAGATTCGAAGATCATAAGGTCATACACTTATAGCTAGAACGGACCTGAGAAGCCCTGTAGGCCAACCCTTATAGATGAAGAAACTGAGACCCATGCTGATTAAGTGACTTGGCCAAGGTTAAGTAGGCAGTAAGTATCAGAGGCAGGATTTGAGGATTTGAACCCAGGTCCTCCTCAGGTCAAGTGTTCTTTCCAATACACTAAGCCGTCCTAGTGGCTAGGGTCTGTTCTTTGCCAGTTCCCCACCCTCAAATTTTGGTTTGATGGGATGGGGCCCTATGAGCGTGACGGAATCAAAGATCATATCTTCCATATCTTTTTTTAAACAAGGTTTTAAGAATACTCCTCTCTTTTTAAGAATACTTCTTTCCCTCCTAACCCATTTTGTCCAAGGGAGACAAATCCATACGTGCCCAGGATCTGGGGAGCTCTTTATGGGACATCTTGGTTCCTCAAGCTCAAGTAATGGGTAGTAGTAATTACCATGGAATGACTTTGTCGGTGGGATGTTAATAGCTTAGTGGAGAGGGAGATTGAGTGAGTGGGGGAGGGAGGTGAGCTGCAACCAGGACAGTGGAATTCCTTAGTATCACGTCATAGCCAGCAGACAGAACATGAGCCCTGGAGCACAGGGCTATTTATATTTCAGCTTGTCACTATCAGGGCCCCCAGAGCTGCCCTCCCCCCATGCCACCCTATCACAGTCACTAGCCAGGGCTACCACTACCTCTTTATCCCTGATGTTTTGTGCTCCTTTTCCTACTTAAATTCTCAGAACAGTCTCTTGGGGAAGGGGGAGCAGATATCACTGTTATAACAACCCCCCCTCAAAAAAAATAACAGCACTTCCCCATCAGTGTCCCTAATGAGGACCGCCCTCATTCCATCCCTGGGGAAAGACTTTCAGCTAAGTTCCCCACAGCCCCCCCTCCTCACAGAACTTGGTGAGTCACTCACTACAAGGGCCCCCAAAACATTCCAAAAGTCTCCTCAACTCTACCATTCTGGAAGATGGCAACATTGGCTGACTCAGGGAGCTGCCTGGCCTGAGGCCTTCCCACCTGTCTCTCAGGGAGAGGTTAGGGTTCAGCTAATTCCCTTCAGACTCCCTACTCTAACTATTCTGAAACTAACTGGTTGCAGAACTGTTAAAAAAAAAAAAAAGTCGGGGTAGTAAGGACATATCTGAGCCTAGATTGAGTGGTGTCTGTTTCTCTCTGGGACCCAAGGCAGACCATTACCTGTTCTGTTCCTCAGTTTCCCTAAATTTGTCAACCATTTGGGCTACCATCTATTCCTGGAAGAGCCAGGGATTTCCCTAGTATTAGTCCCTCCCCCCAATCCCCTTCAGCTCCACTGGGGAGGGTCAGTCCGATTGCTCTCCTCTCTCCAGGGCTTCCCTCTGACTACTTCCATCCTATCTCTACCAGCCTTCCCACAACCTCAGCTCACATTCCCCCTTGGCTGATGCCAACAGGGATCTCCCTGGCTGGCTGGCCAGACAGTCCTCCTTTCTGGCCAAGGATGGACACAATGAATGGGGGTGGGGGGTTCCCTACCACTGAGGGGGAGGTCTGTCCTGACTCTTGTCCCTGGAGATATTGTCTGAGTCAAGCTCTAGGGTCTGGGGGGATGGGGAGTGGGGAGAGGTGACTCATGGCCCGGCATCAGAACTTTCTCCTTACCCATTTCTGAGAGGATGATCCTATGTTGGTGGATGACACTAAATGGGGAGTGGGGTGGAGTGGCAACTACCCCAGCTCCAATCACCACAGGGAAACCCATTCTAGCCCCAAAGGAGGCTTGTACTTCAATCCCAGAGTAATAGAGGAAGGCAGTCTTCTCTTCATGACCAGATAATCCCATTGCCTCTATGTCCATGTTATTATCCCACTTCCTCCCCCCTACCCAAATACTCTCCTCCTATCCCACAAGGCTCTGACTTTGACACAGATGATTCCTAGTTGGACTTACAGGCTCAACCACCAACTTGTCCAGCAATATTAGACTTCTGTTCCCAATTGCAACCCCTCCACTAAACCTCAGTTTCCCCAATCTGTCTCTAAGTCTTAGTCACCTCTGTTTCTCCTCCCCCTTCCATCTAAGACTTCATCCCCACCTGTGACTCAGCTCAGATATAGGGGGGAGGAAAGGGAGGGGACCAGAAGGGGGGAGGAGAAGGCCCTATGATACTCTCCATTTTCCTTATTCTCTCCCATCTCTGACCTTGGCAGAGAAGCAGATTTGGGGAGCAGTATCCTAATGACAAACCTTTGTTCCTCTGGCTGTGGGTGGGGGACCAGATTGGTATGAGGGCAGGAGGAGGGACTTGGGGAAGACCCCTCTCCGGTCCCCCTTCCCTTCAGATCCTCCAGGCTACTTGAGGGGGTAGGCGGGGCCTTCTCTGGTCCCCCTCCCCGCCCCTGCCCCCACCCCCCCGCAGGCTAGCCCCGCCGGCCGGCATTCCTGGGAGGCCGGCGCTCTGACGTGAGCCTGGAGAGGGGGGGCCCCCCCGCGGCCCAGGGGCTTCTTAAACCCCCCGCCCTCGGTCCGACCCTGCATTTCCACAGCACCGCTCCGCCCCCCCAGAGGGAGAGAGAGAGAGAGAGAGAGAGAGAGAGAGAGAGAGAGAGAGAGAGAGAGAGA